TGACAGCCCACACCTCTGAGGGGACCGCAGCTTTCCTCTCTTGGTCTGCCTTACTGATACACAGTCAGACCGACCTCCCCCAGAATACCTCAGAGGACTGGTTGCTGCCTGCGAAGACAGCTCAGAACAGACACAGATTGAGGAAAGGAAAAATCTGGATTCGAATCCAAGTCGTATCACTTACCAGCCACGTGAGGTCAGGCAAGTCAAAAACTCTAACCTCATCTTCCACTGCTATCCATCAATGCGGAACACACCTGCCTGACTTCCAAGGGAAGAGATAATCCAACGATTTAGGTAAACTGGCTTAGGGGCACCTGGCTGGCTCAGTCAGTGGAGCATGCTGATCTCAGGGTTGTAGGTTCGAGCCCAACGTTGGGAGTAGAGATTACTTCAAAAAAAAAAAGGAGAAAGAGAAAATCTTTAAAAAAAAAAAAAAAGGGCGCCTGGGTGGCTCAGTTGGTTAAGCGACTGCCTTCGGCTCAGGTCATGGTCCCAGGGTCCTGGGATCGAGCCCTGCATCTGGCTCCCTGCTCTGCGGGGAGCCTGCTTCCCCCTCTCCCACTCCCCCTGCTTGTGTTCCCTCTCTCGCTGTCTCTCTCTCTGTCAAATAAATAAATAAAATCTTTAAAAAAAAAAAAAAAAAAGAGGGCGCCTGGGTGGCTCAGATGGTTAAGCGTCTGCCTTCAGCTCAGGTCATGATCCCAGGGTCCTGGGATCGAGTCCCACATCGGGCTCCCTGCTCCTTGGGAGCCTGCTTCTCCCTCTGCCTCTCTCTCTCTCTCTGTCTCTCATGAATAAATAAATAAAATCTTTTAAAAAAAAAAAAAGATAAACTGGCTTGGTGGTGAAAGTGGTTTAAGCAAGTTTTAACTATAATACTAACAGAGAACTTTCTCTCAGGTATCCTCGTATCCCGACTTCTCCTCAAAAGCACTTAATACAGGGCGCCTGAATCACTCAGTCGGTGAAGCATCTGCCCTCGGCTCAGGTCATGGTCCCAGGGTCCTGGGATCGAGCCCCGCATTGGGCTCCCTGGCTCAGCGGAGAGTCTGCTTCTCCCTCTGCCACTCCACCCCCCCCTCAACGCACGTGGGCTCTCTCTCAAATAAATAAAATCTTTTTTTTTAAACACTTAATACAGTATTTTGCACAATGACATTCATTCAACAAGTACCTGCTTAGTACATATTAAATAAATACCAGGCTCTGAATAAGCAATACCAATGTATTATTAGCGTTTGGGGAGCTTTTTATATTTGGGTCATTGCAACATGAGTAACAGAGTTAAACAGGGTTTCCACTGTAGCCTCAAATCCTAATTCAAATAGTCTTATGAATTAAATAATAGAAGAGTAATTACAAATTTTGGCCTAACTCAGTTCAACGCACACCAAACACCCAAATAAGGCTCAAATAAATACGTGAGATGCTCCTATAGAACTTCCATTAGGCTGCGGGAAGTAGTCAAGGGGTAGCCACACTGCACAGCAAACTGCGGTAAAACTAGGGAAGCATTAGACACACAAAACAATTCTGACTAAGGAAATGAATAACAGAGTTCCCTGGAGGAAGTATTTGCAGAACTGAAGGCTTAAAAGGATTATAGGTCATTCTGGAGAAGACCCAAAGCAAAAGTAAGTGAAAGCAGTTCCAAAGATGTGTCTGTGTGCATTCGGGTTGGGGGGCGGGGAATAAACAGTCTGGGACCACATTTGGGGGTCAAGGGGATGTGCACTGTGTGCTGAAACATTTGACCAGCAGTCTGGGTGCTGGAGAGTGGCCCAAGGTTTCCAGAAAGGAGAGTGACACAGTCAGAACTACAGCTAAGGAAGCCCACTCTGACGGCAGTGCGAAGAAGCAGAATGAGAAGCTATTTTCTTCGTCTGGGGAAGAAGTCACAGCAAGAAGGAGAGGGAACGGCCCCCACTGTCATGGACATAGACGCTGGCAGAAAAGTTTACTTTTTCCCCTCTTCCAGTGACTTCCTGCTCTCTCCAGACCCGTCCTTTCTGAGGAAACACGAGAACCTGGTTTTTAACACAGATCAGAACAACTTTCTCAACCTACTACAGTTTTGAGATGAGTTTTTAACCATGACTTGCCACGTCAGCCTGGCAAAGCTTACTCTCAAGTTCTAATTCATCTTCACTTATAAAACAAACTTTAAAAATGTGATCTACAGAGCTGCAATCACTATTTTTGCCTTGCACAACCAAAATAATTTAGTCTGAGACAATACTTGTACTTAGGGCAGCCACAACATTGAGACAAATTAGAGCCCTCAAGAGAAGCTGAACAGGGAGTTGTTTTTTCTTATAAAGGAGGGATGGGGGAGGGGGAGAACAATCAAGATCTACAGGGCTGGGCCCAGGGTACAAAGCAATCTGCATTTCCATTTCCCTTTGGATCAAGTACTTCTGAAATCATTCCACAGCCACTGCCAAGCAGCCCCTTTCCAAAGTGAAGGTTGTAAACATATGTCCCTCCCTGCCCCTCGGCACCTTAGTCTTATTTTTCCTTATTAATCAATTCTTCCTCAACAAGGCAACAGCAGGGAACGAACAGCACCAGTCTAGAAAACTAGAAACTGGCTCCGCCACTAAATATATGACCTGGATACATTATTTTTCTCATCTATAAGTGATGAGCCTAAGTGTTGGACTCCAGAGACTCTGAGGTGCCTTCTAGGTTTAAAATTGTCATTTTTGATGATGTTCTTAGATCCTTTGGTTTCTTCCAAATTCTCTTTTAACAGGCGCATAATAAAAACCCAGGGAGCAGAGGATCAATCTTGCTTCCAGATCCTCTTGCCCTACTATGCTCAGACTTCCAAAGGAGGTCCAGCCTGTTGATGCTGATCATCCTCTAAAAAAAAAAAAAAACAATTTTGAATGTTTGAATTCCTTGCAGTTAAGGCACTAAGGACTGGAATAAGAGAACCAAGATAGAATTGCAGCAAATGGACTACCATATGGAATTACAGAAGTCCAATGCTCCTTTGGACCTTTTTTAATAACAACAACAAAAAGATTAAAATAATCTTAAACAATGCCTAGTATTTATCAGTGCCCAAAGTGTACAACATGCTTTATGCTGTTGCTTTTCTTCTCTTCCAGCTGACTTCTTGCTCTCGCTACAAGTCCTTTTGGAGGAAATACAAGAACCTGGTTTTGAAGACAGACCCTGTCTTGAGAGTTTCTATAATCTTCCTCCTTGATGAGAACCCCAGGGACAACGCTTACCACTCCCATCATGGCTCACCAGTAGCTCCCATGTGACACATTACAGAAGTTAACACTTAGGACTTACAATGAGTATCAGTTGAGACCAGGTGATGACTCAAGGCCACAAAAATAAAGAGAATGGCCTCATTTCCCCTTTTAGGGTCTCAGTTTCCCCCTCCGCAGTGACTTTATCATTTGTGATCGCCGAGGACATTCTAAATGCCACACTCATCTGCCAGTTTAAGTCTCCCTCCCCCCAGGAGGACCGAACCTCAGGTAAATATTTGGGACCAACTGTGTGTCACACATCATGCTAGGAGTGTTGGGAATACAGCCATGAACAACAAAAACGTCCCATGCAACATTCATATGCAATGGAAAGAGGGGGGGCAAGGATAATCCTAAAAGCAGGGAAAACTTCCTAAGAGCTGACATCGTGGGTTTGTTTTTAATTACGAGTAACAGCACGAGCAGAGAACACAGAACAAGGGGGGGCGGGGGGGGACTGCATTCAGCAAATGCCACATCAGCTTCTGGGACCTGAAGCTGCCAGATTCCTAGCCCCGGGAGCTAGAGAGACGAGATTAACTTGATCCAGAAAGAAGTTTCAGAGCGCCAGCCGCCGGGTCTGAGCCCCACGCGCCCAGGTAGTCGGGACCTGGAGGGGAAACTGCGAGGCCAAGATGGAGGAGGGGCTCGGGAGGAGTCGGCTCGGGCGCGAGAACCTCGTGGCTCGCTCCTCATGGCGCCAAGCAGCCTTCCTGCTCGGCGCTCCCGGGCCCTGGGAGGCAGCATCCCACGTCGCCAGACGCGGCGCGCACGGCCCCAGCTCGCAGGCTCCCCTCAGGAAGGAGCCCGTGCTCCCACCGCGAGCCGAGGCTGCTAAACGCCCAAGGAACAAGTACCCACACCTTAAAGGCAGCAAGGGGGGACCGAGAAAGAAACATCTGGCAGGACTCCGCCCTTCCCCACCTGCAGAAAAAGCCCGGGATGGAGCTAAGAGAGCATTTCCCTAGTTTCTCCTTGCCTTGCTGATAAAACAAAGAGAGGCACGTAGGAGGGTCGGACACCCGGACGATGACCCCTTTCGGTGGACCCAAGACGCGCAAGCCCCGGACACCGAGGAGCACGCAGCCAGTACAACTTTCTCCTTGAAGCCGGCCACGTTTCCGCTTATAACCATAAAAATCAGAAGCCCCTGCTATTAACATTTCGTTGATGTCACCGCACCTAGTTGGCGCTCAGGACTGTCCCCGGAAAGCCCTGCAATCCCCAGCCCAAGACGGACTCCCGTCCCCGGGACGCCGCCTCGCGCGTTCTCGCAGCCCTCCAGGTCCCGCTCCCCGGCTTGCCCCGCCCTGGGTACCGGGGACCTCCAAGCGGGGCTGGGGCGCATCAGGGGCTCGCCGGCGGCCCTGCCTGAAACCCTCTCCCCCACCGTCGGACCCGCACAACAATAAGCATCCGCTTTCCCAGCTGGTCGCCCACAGGAGCCGGGCCACGAGTTACCGCAGCGGAGAAAAAGAGCGAGCGGGAGCGCGCCAGCCCCGCGACCGGGGGTCGGCGGCCCCCTGGGGCCCCGATGACCGGAATCCCCGCCCGGCCGGCCGGCCCGCAGTCAGCGCGGGGAAGACTGGGCGCTGCAGCGCGGCCAGCGGCGGAGGCGCGCGGGCCACGCGGTGGCTGCAGCAACTGACACGGCCCGCGGCCGCGCCACACGCGCCGCCGCCCGGCCCCGGGCCCGGGAGCGCGGCGCCGCGACCCCCGCCGTACCTTGCCGCTGGCCGTGCCCCCGCTGACGCCGATCAGGAAGGGCTCGCCGCCGTTGGGCTGCTGGTGGTTCTGCAGGGTCTGCTCGCTGTCCCCGGCCATGGCTGGCGCCGCCCCTCCTCCCGCTGCTGCCGGCGGACGCACGTTCCCCGCCCGCGCCCGCGTCGGGCTCCCCCGCTGCCCGCAGCCGCCGCAGGGCGCTGCCCGGGTCCCTGCGAGCCGCCCGGAGCTCGGCCGTGGGGCTGCCTTTCCCGGGGGCGCCGAGAGCCTGCCTCTTGCCCGCAGCGGCCGGCTCGGCTTACAGCCCAGGCGGAGGTCAGCGTGATGCTAATGCTCCAATCCGGGCGGGCAGCGCGCTGCTATTCGCCGAGGCGGAGGCGGCGAGGCGGCCGGCCCCAGCCCCCGCCCCTCCCGGGCCCCGCCGCCGCCACCCGAGGTCTCCCGGAGAGGTGTGAGCCCGGCCCTCCTCCCCCGTCACCCGCCCGGTTAACCCTTTCCTCGGCGACCTCCGGCGGCCCGACGGAAGGCAAACACGCGCTCGGCGCTTTAACTGGGTGTGCTACCCCCTCTTTCAAAGGGGATACGAAGCTACCAGGGCAGAATGCCAGCGCCCCAGGTTTGGGAAGCAAAATTCGAACAAGCAGGGAAGGTTAAGACGAAGCAAAGAGTTAATGTCATTTGCCCATTATTCAGGCTAAAAACTTGCGTTTTCCCCAAATGAAAAAATTTCCCCCTTCCGTTTGCCAAAATATGTCAGACGCTGGCTTTCAATATTTCCTCTCTTGGAAACACCATCCTCCTTAGCAGGCGACTGCCTAGAGTCCTTGTCCCCAGAGAAGGGTACTGGGGGGGCGGGGGGGGGGGGGCGGTATCTAAAGGGCACACGCTCTCCAAAAAGCAAGGCCGTTTCAAACCATAGTTTGAAATCACAAATACTGAGGTTCCTGTTGAATTAGGATTTGTGGAAACATTAAAATAATAATGCCATTTTGACCCATTAAGACCTTTAAGTGAACTGGTTTTTCATTCAGAGATGGGCAATTAGTCACTTGATTAGAAAGGCAGGATCCGCTGGTGACTCAGCAGCCCCCACCTCTGAAGGCAGATTTCTCTATTCACACGCAGTTCCACGAGCAAGTTACATAATCTCCCTGTGCCTCGGTGTTCTCATCTGTTACATGGGAATAATGGCCACTCCATCCTAGGATTGTTGCATTAAATGAATTGTTATATTAAAGTTCTTAGAATAGCTGCTGGCATAGTCCAGGCCCTATGTAAGAGTTGGAAGGGAAGAGGCCCCTACAAGGCTGGGACCCCAAAGGGAAATTTTGTTGGGGTACAGGGGGGGAGAGGTAGGATTAGATCAGTAGCTTCCAGTCTCTGCCCCTGTGAATCTGGAACTGATGAGCTGACTGGCTCCTACAGGCTAAAAGAGAGTTGAAGTCAATAGCATTCTTTTCAAACTTAGTTATCTTAAATTCAGAATTCTTTTGAAAAAAAAATTGCTAAAGAAAATTAAGAATATTAGAAAGCACAATGTTCTTTTCACTTCTGACATATTTCGTGTCCCCATCGAAAATCACTCCACAGAAGCTCAGACAGGAGGCTAAGATAGAGAGAGTGGCTACCTGGTTGGGAGAGGTCAGCTAGAAGGAGGGTGCCTTACCACAGGGCTGTTGGGTGGGTGGGTTGTAGCTGATTCAGGAGGCTGCCTCTTCTCCCCAAGGTCTTTTCTCCACTAAAGAGATCTAAGTCTTCAAAGACTTTTTTTTTTTTAAAGATTTTATTTATTTGAGAGAGAGAGAATGAGAGAGAACACATGAGAGGGGGGAGGGCCAGAGGGAGAAGCAGACTCCCCCCGGCCCCCAGCAGGGAGCCCAATGCGGGACTCGATCCAGGGACTCCAGGATCATGACCTGAGCCGAAGGCAGTCGCTTAACCAACTGAGCCACCCAGGCGCCCTAAGTCTTCAAAGATTTTTGCAGAGCTCTTTAGAGCCCAAGATAAAGCCTGTTGGAACTTGGACAATTCGATGGACCCAGACCTAAGGGGATATCAGGTAGCTAGAGAAAGAAGAGGAGGATATGAGAATGCCACATCCTCTATGAACTTTTCCCAAATCCCCACCTTCCTTCTTTCTATAGCTTTTTTTCCATGATATTTCATCATAAAAATTTTCAAACATTGAAATATTTTACAGTAAACACTGATATAACCATCTGGATTCTACCATGAACATTGTACCATACTTATCACACTAGTCATCGACCCATCCCTCTATCCGGCCCAACATTTTTATTGGAGTATTTATTTGCCTTTACCTGGTTAGTCTGAAGTGGCTTACTCCAAACTGGTTTATACATTTCTTGGTGTTTGTTTGTTGTTGTTTTTTTAATTACTATATTCCCAGCATCTAAAACAGTTTCTGGCACTGGTAGGGCCTTCACAAATATTTGTTGAACAAATGAAGCAACGCCATGTCTCAATTTTACATTCCCAGGGCCAACTGAGTAGAATGACAGCAGGTAGGAAACATTCAATACATGTTCACTGTATTGAATGAACAAATGAAGAATATGGAAAAGGTCAAAAAGTACCAACAAGTAAACTTCACTGCCACCATTTTGGAATGAAAGGTGGTATTCCCTACATGGTATTTACATGGTTACTACTCTTATTTCCAAATGTTTTGTGTTCCTGGCGTTCCAAGTGACTGTGTACAGCTAGTCTTGTATGTACATCTATTAACTAGTTGGACCAACTCATTAACTGAGCTAACCCGTTAAACTTATCTGTACCTTGTTTAAAATTTTATCTTTTTTTTTTTTTTTGTAATCTCTACCCCCAATGTGGGGCTTGAACTCACAACCCCAACCAAGATAAAGAGTCACATTCTGTACTGAGTCAGCCAGGCACCCTTTCTGTACCTTGTTTAATAATTTTGACCTCTGTGCGTAAGTTAATATACATAAAAGTGTCCTGAAAAAAAAAAAAAAAAAAAAGCTGTCTATACAAAGGTAAGGCCTAGTTAGCAAGAACATCCCGCTGCACTCTGCACTCCCTGTTTTCACTCTCTTCTGTCCCTAGGGCTGCCTTACCTACAGGTAAGGAAGTTACCCAAGTCCGTTTAAGAGTATTCTGAGCACTGGTGACCTCGACAAGGACTTTTGTATCTCTGTTCTCTATAAAGCCAGCCAGGCTGTCTGTGCTATTCCCTGTGCTGTGTCATCCTCACTCAGGAGCCTGGTCACCAAATCCCATAGCTGGGGATGTTCAAATCACGTTTGAGTCTCCTATAGCAATTACACTGCAGATTCTGAATTAAAGGATCTCTACCTGTCCTCCTTCCCCTGCCACCAGGAAAAAAAAGAATCAAACATGTTCAATAAAATCCAGAGTTAGAACAGATTCAAGCAAATACTATTTTCTCGGTATCTGTGATCATTTTCGTTTATATACAGATTTCCGTCTGATCAAGTTCTGGCCTAGTTAACATACGGGGATGAAGTCAGCATGAGTGTGCAGCTATAGCCAAAGAACAAGAGACATTTCTGCTATGGTCCTCGTCTGCCTGCCCTCCCTCTAAGTGGCTGTAGGTCCGAACGAGGCAAGGAACACTACATTTTGTCTCCATCGGAAAAGTTCTACCTCTGGGTGCTTCACAAACCATGGTTAATTCTCTAATTGCTTATCCCATTTACAAACCGGAAAAAAGAAAGGTTATCAAACTTTAGTTTCTCTCCGAAACATTGTAGTTGGTGTATTGCCTTTTATCAATCAGTAATTGCTTGGACAGATCATAAATACTGTTCTGAAGAGATGACCAGATGATATTGAAGAGCTGCTTACATCTGGCTCTGTGATCTTAGGTACATTCTCAGATACTGTGGGCAGCATGATAGAGCTGTCTCAAACCCCAGCAGTGGGAGCAGCTGGGAATACAAAAGCTGGGACCCCATCCCCACACAGCTAAAGAATCCAAAACTCTGTGTGTGGAGCCCAGCAACCTGTTTGATAAGCCCTCCAGGTACCTCTTAGCACCCAGCCAAGTTTGAGAATCACTGATCTAGTGGAAAGAAGACAATGAGCTCTAGTTGGGAAAGCAAGTTTTACACCCTTGCTTTGTTACTACTTTGTAACCTTTGGCAAGTTACTTAATTTCTATGGAATTCAGTTTCTTCAAATGTTAAATGATAAGGTGCCTTGTAAGGTGGTTGTGAAAATAAAGACTATATATTGGTACATAGCAGTTGTCAAATGCCATTTCTCTCCCCTTCTATTGGATCACAGATCACAGCTCTTCCCATAGAAGCCCCACCATTTCGGGATTAGGAGCTTCAAAGATAGGAATTCCTAATCCCCAAGGTCACTTTAAGGTAAAAAAGGTTATATCCAGAACATGCAAATCTACAGAGATAGAAAGTAGATTGGTGGTTGCCTACAGCTAGGGAGGTTAGGAAGGAAATGGGGCATGGCTGCTAAATGAGTCCAGGATTTCTTTTTATTTATTTATTTAAATAGCCTCCACGCCCAAAGTGGGGCTTGAACTCATGACCTTGAGATCAACAGTGTTCTACTGACTGAGTCAGCCAGGTGCCCCCAGGATTTCTTTTAATTTTTTAATTTATTTTTTTAAGATTTATTTACTTATTATTTTAGAGAGAGTGAGGAAGAGCAGATGAAGGGGGGGGGGGCAGAATCTCAAGCAAGCTCCCTGCTGAGTGCAAAGCCCAACGTGGTGCTCGATCTCGCAACCCTGAGATCATGACCCAAGCCGAAATCAAGAGTCTGCATACAACCCCACTGAGCTACCCGGACACCCCTCTTTTTATTTTTATTTTTTTTAAATTTCTTTTAGAGAGACAGAGCACAAGCAGGGGGGTGGGGCAGAGGGAGAGGGGGAGAGAGAGAAGCTTAAGCAGATTCCATGCTCAGCACGGATCCCAATGTGGGTGGGGCTTGATCCCACGACCCTGAGCTCATGACCTGAGCTAAAATCAAGAGTCAGATGCTTAACCGACTGAGCCACCCAAGTACCCCCCTCTTTTTAGGTAAATGTTCTAAAATTGACTATCTTGATGGTTGCACGACTTTGATTATCGTAAGAACCACTGAATTGTACAATTTATATTGATGAATTATGTGGTATGTGAATTATATCTCAATAAAGCTGTTTAAAGAATAGGTTGCAGGGCACCTGGGTGGCTCAGTTGGTTAAGCGACTGCCTTCAGCTCAGGTCATGATCCCGGAGTCCCAGGATCGAGTCCCACATCTGGCTCCCTGCTCAGCAGGGGGTCTGCTTCTCCCTCTGACCCTCTTCCCTCTTGTGCTGTCTCTCATTCTCTCTCTCAAATAAATAAATAAAATCTTTAAAAAAAAA